ACCAGTCCGGCCAAGACTTACCACCTGCTTGCCATCTGGTGACCAGAGCCCAATCCAGAAGCCACCTGCACTGCCAGTTGCCGTGGTAGATCCTTTTTGGACGCTGATCTCTCCCATTCTCTCTGCGGACATCCAAACGCCTGACGCTTGATCTTGTTCCCAGATTGTGATGGTGTTATCAGCTGAGGCCGAGAGAAGCTGCTGACGCTTGGAATCAGGATTCCATGCAATGGTATAGATCCAGTCTTCATGTCCAAAGAGAAGAGCTTCAAAAGTAATAGAGTATTTCGATCCTGCAGCCTCGAACTCGTGGGCTTTGTTCGATAGCGTAGGTTCCATTCCTCCAAGCAGAGGATCCGTATCATCTATCGGAGCAGGGGCACTTGCTTCACCCCGACGCAGTCGCCAAAGACGGATATATCTGTCTTGACTTGCAGACGCTAGTAGGATGTCACCGTTGCTCTGCTTGTCCTGGGTGAAAGAAAGAGCCTTGATCCAGGCTTCATGCCCTGCAAGCACAGCCTGGCGCTTGAACTCTGGTTTGCCGATGGAGGTTTCCGATACGTAGATCTGAACCTTGGTCGTTGTACCTGCAACGGCCAACACCAATGACTTGTCCGAGTCGCCTTCAAGTGCCTGCAATGACAGAGATAGCGGGAAGAACCGTGGTGTCATTGTAATCGTGTCAAGTAGCTCGCACTTCAATTCGCCCTGTGCATTGATTCTCCAGATCCGAACTGTGCCATCAGCCGCTCCAGATGCGATGATGTCCGTTCCATCAGCGACGGCAATCGCATTCACCGAGCTCGTGTGACCCTCAAGGGTAAACGCAAGGACGTAATTGTGGGGGTCGGCATTGTCCTTTTGCCATACCCGTATTGTGTGGTCGACGGAGCCGGTGACGATAAATCTCGTTCCTGAGGCGGGGCATGTATAAAATCGAACGACGCTGACTTTGTCGGTATGACCAACAAGCAGAGCATGGATACCACGATCGTTCTTGTCCTTGACTAAGTGTCAGCTCTTCCTGTTGTCAATGCGCAGTTGTTCTCAGTAGACCTACTAGAGGATCCCATAAGGCGACATTGTTGTCCGCACCAAACGCGAGCACGCCTGTCTTCACATCCCAATCCGCGGCACCAGGGTGCCGGTTTCCCCCACACTAATGTAGTCTGTTTCGACGGCGACCATGGAGTATTATGAGGGTGTGTGAACCCTTCTGTCTGTCTGTGCTGCTGTATTGGGAATAAGTTGGAGAAAAGCCGCAAAGAAATTGCGGGAAGATTGGGGCTTATCGATAAGAGGTTCTTTCTCCGCCTAGCCCCTCCATCTTTAACACACTGTGATCTCTTTTCGCTCTCAATAAGAGAGATAACTGCTATATGCTCTATATTTCCCTTCATCTGCAACGTCATGGTTGATACTCCAAATGCGGGCCAGGGAGAATTCCCCGTCCCTATCACCGTCGAGTTTACGTACGTCAAATCTTTCCTTCAATTGATCAACCTCTGCTGATAATTGATCTCGATAGTGGCGGCTTAGAATTGCTATTCGGGAATGAGCGCAAGCATAAGGTCGTTTTACCTGCTCGTTTAGAGGATGGCAGCAGGCCAAACATCTCATACCTGCTTAAATACCTCGTTGACAACCTCATGAAGGACCAGAGGATAGACATGTTCATCATGGAGGACAATGTGTATGTCAACATAGCTTTGGGGCTTTCTTCAAACAGTACTAATAGATTTGAAAGACGACCAGGCATTCTCGTCCTTATCAACGATGCCGATTGGGAACTCGAAGGCGAAGAGACATATGAACTTCAACAAGGGGATAACATTGTTTTTGTCTCGACTTTACATGGCGGTTAAACTTGATGGATTGTATTGATGCTATCAACGCAACGAAGACAAAAAAAACAAGACTTGATTCGAAGTGTGGCTAGAGGAATTCAAGAACAACATATGGGTGGTATTGCCAGGCAAAGCGAATTACTGTGGACTTTTACCTAGACCACATCTTCAACATGCTGTTGTGAGATCCTTTCGCGCTCACGCGGTGTTCGGATTCCACTGGGTGTTCGATGCCCACTCTGTGGGGTTACTTGACCTTCTGGTGTACCAAGCCCTTGCGTCGGTGATACCACCCCGCTTGGGGGCACTGGGATTTTCAAGTCCTCTGGAGAGGCCGGGATAATCTCTTCGGGGAGGTCGGGGATATGGATCCGCTGAGCCTCGTTCTGATAGCTCTCCGGAACGATCTGGAATAGTGTTAAGTAGCTATAGATAATAATCTAATCCAAAGTCAACTTACCTCAATGATTTCATCGCGAGGGAACTCAAGGAACGGAATGTCAGCAGCATTGCAGGCCATGAGATAGCCATACAAAACCCTCAAAACACTTTCATGTGCAATGATGAGCAGATCAGTTTGCTCCCTCTCCAGTTCAAGGATAATTGGCTCGAGGCGAACAGCCAAATCATGGTATGACTATTGAAAAGGGTCAGCAGTTACACACTTTGAGGGGTTGAGGCAAAGCTTACCTCTGCCCGGGGATAACGGTGGTGGTAAGGATCAAGCTCGTGTTTAGCAACCTCATCTCCAAACTCTGCTCGGATTTCACTCTCAGACATCTTCTCACAAACACCAGGGTTCAGTTGGCTCAATTGAGACCTCTGCCGGATTTTATATCCGTTTTCATGAAGGTATTTCGCGGTTTCTACTGTCCTGCGCCGCGTAGAAGTCCAAACTTTCAAGGGCCTTGACTCGTAGCCAGTCTCTCCTCGCTCAATCATTGCTTGCTTTTCTTCTTCACGGTGAGCTAGTAGACGTGCCGTCATTTTCTTGGCGTAGTCTTCTCCCTGTTCTGACAATGAAGCATCGGCTTTGTATGAATCTGCGTCTAGCGATACGCCAGCCTAGATAAAACGTTAGGCGCTGAATTATGACGATAGGACAGTAGATGACCTACCCGGACAAAGTATGTGCGTCTCGATTTGATGTGGAGATTCAGAAGATAGAAGACTATGCGGTTAGAAAGGTAACCAAAGCTCCGATTGTTGACAATCAGTCTCTCGCCGGCGTTGATCATCTGTATTTGGTGAGTAATGGTCATGCGACAAAAGCCAATTACGCGTACCTTGATATAGTTCAAGTCCTTTTCCTCCATGGTCTGAAATTGGGGGATGCGAGAATAGATACGATTCAAGTAATGCTTCACGGCGTCTTCCGATTTCCATGAGACGTACTAGCCATGATTGTCAGAGTTTCCGTTCAATGCCAGGATAAATAGGAGACTTACATCAGGAGAGGATATCTTGACTCTGCGAACATTCTCTTCGATGATGCGTTCGTCATCACACCAAGACTCAATGAACAGGGTCTGGTAAGAGACATCAATAATTAGTCTATTGTTAAATGTTCAAAGAATCTATTCTGACTTGCCTCGATATCATGCTTTGCAAACTCCTTGGCAAGCGAGCGCCGTCCTGAGGCTAGTGGGTTGACGGCATCATATATCGCTATTTGACCATTTTCATGGTTCAAAAAGTGATAGATGTCTTCTCGACATTTTCTCACAATCTTTTGGCGTAGAAGAACGGACTTGGCAGTCGCTAAGCAGATATGTCAATATGGTCATTCAGGTAGATCAGGATACCATGCCTACCATTGACATAGAAATAATCATCTGGCATGTCTTCGCCAAATGGGATTGTAGCTCGACGATAGTCGCCCAGATGGAAGATTCTGGTTTTGACACCAAGCCTATCAATGCATTAGCATACCTCTATAAATGCGCAGATCATAGGAGTAAAGCATACCATCGCAGGTATCGTGCCAAAGCCACTGAGATATGTCTACCATGGATTTGAAATTAGTTTACGCAACAGCACCAATCTGAATGTTAAAATATCATACGTTTTGCCTCTGGCAGGCAAGCCGACGGTGATGATCACAATGCGGCCCGAATGGAAGAGCCGACCAGATTCGGTGCTGTACAGCTGGGCCGGAGCTAGATCGGCCTTTTCCGGCAAGTCATGAATTGCATCGACAAAGATTGACGATTTGCGACGGAATCGTGGGGAGTTGGCCACAATCTCAGCGGTGCTATATGATGTCAGTTCAAGTCCACTATCAGGCTTCACTCTAGCCTCTCCAAGACTAGATACGGCACATGGCTCGTTCTTTTTTCTTTTCTATTTTCTGCCTATTGTTGTCAAGCAGAAGTCACACACAAACACAACATCGGGAAGAAAACATGAAGCTGTGAAGTGGGCAAGGCAAGCTTACAGTAAAGTGTCCATGGTGGGATGTCGAGGTGACGCAACCTTGAGATATCACACAATTCAGTATTGAGCGTGTCAGAATTATCGATAGATAGTGCTGAGATAGATCAGAGATATTTTAAGCTGTTTCAATTCGATGACAAGATAGTGCAAGAAACAAGGAACCTTCCAAGTTGAGGGTAAGAGGCGGTATAGGGAATCGATCAAGATCCAGATAGTTATCAGGTGCAGATCATTGGCTTTGGTTGCCTTGTTTTTCAGGCTGCAAAATACAAATCAGTCCAAAAGAAAACCAAATTCAAGCACAATTTAGCATCAAACTGAAGAAAATAAAAGAAGCTTTTCAGATGACAATTTATACCAGGTTAAATCCCTCCAATGACCCCCAGTCACTCTCAATCCCACCCCCAGTCTAGCCTTGAACCGGGAAAGCCCGAGAAAGGCTTATGTAACATCCCGGCGAGCGACAGCAACCAAAGACGCCGAGGCAGGTGACTAGCATTTTTCACAGCTTGGAAAGTCTTGAATTGCTTCCCCTACACTCCTGAGCGCATCAGATCCAGCCCTTTCTACGCTATTTTATCAAAGGTCATCTGAAGACGTTTGTTCGTCCCAGATCCTCGGGCTGGCCTCAATCCCATTTATTCTCAATTATTTGTGTTTCCCCCCGAGTCTCAACTGAAGACTAACACGCGTGACGACACCTAATATATTCGTCAATTATCATATTTCAACCAAAATGGCCGATTACTTATCATCCCTCTCCTTTCTCTCAGAGAACCCTGCCGCCGCGGCTATCAACGATGCATACTCCTCGTTCTCCGACCGAAGGGCCTTGCTCAACCTGCCCAACCCCGGCACTGTCGATAACCTCGCCAGGGAAGTGCAGAAGGATGTTCTCTTGACCAACTTCATGTTCTCCGGTCTCCGGGCAGACCTGACCAAGGTCTTCGGCATGTCCCCTCTGTTCCGTGTGTCGCATGCGTTCTCTATGGGCTCAACCGGCAACCTGCCTCCATATGCTTTCTCCGCCATGTTCGGAAACCCCAGGGTAAGGACAAATATCCCATGCGATCTATGTGCCGGTAACCGCAATTTTCAGTATCTAACAGATTGTTCTCCGGTAGGTGTTTATGCAAGGTAACTACGGAAGCGACGGTGCCCTCGCCGCCGTCGCCAACTACCGCTGGAACCAGGCCCTCGTCACCAAGACCAATGCCCAGATCATGAACGGTGGTACCCAGGGCTTGGTCCAGATTGATAACGACTACACTGGCCGTGACTTCTCCGCGTCTCTCAAGGCCTTCAACCCCTCTTGCCTCGAGGGTGGTCTCACCGGTATCTTCGTCGGCAGCTACCTGCAGTCTATCACCCCCAGTCTCGCTCTTGGTTTCGAGGCTATCTGGCAACGCCAGGGCATCACCGCTCGTCCCGAGACTGCCCTGTCTTACTCCGCCAAGTACAAGGGTGAGGACTGGATTGGTACCGCTCAGCTGCAGGCCCAGGGCACTTTCAATGCCACTTACTGGCGCAAGCTGTCCGAGCGTGTTGAGGCTGGTATTGACATGAACCTCCAACTCCAGCCCTCTCCCGCTACTCTTATGATGGGCGGCCCTGCTCGTGACGGTACCACTGCCATTGGTGCCAAGTACGACTTCCGTGCCTCTTCGTTCCGCGCCCAGGTTGACAGCACCGGCAAGGTCAGCTGCCTCCTCGAGAAGCGCATTGCCATGCCCATCTCTCTCTCCTTCGCTGGTGAGATCGACCAGGCCAAGGTAAGCCACATCCATCTTTCTTTCTAATCGCAACCTCAATGCTAACTTGCTTCTTTTCTTTCTAGCAAACGGCTAAGCTCGGTCTTGCCGTCTCCCTTGAGCTTGCTGGTGAGGATGTCATGGAGCAGCAGGACAAGGTTGACCCCGCCACCATGATCCCTCCTCCCTTCTAAGCTCTCCTCTCGCATCCTCCGAGATAATAACCCTTTCGTCCCCCATGTTTTAGTAGTTCTTCACTCTCCATGTCTGGAATGACATATGTTGTCTCTCTTCCTCGGTATATCCTCTTGACTCTGGGTTGCTGGTGCAGGTGGCAGTTGTTTGGCGCCATGGAGATTTCAAATTTTTTTGTATAGATTCACACTCCGTTTCTTTGATTTCTTTTTCCATTACCACCTGATGCTGCATCTCTGTCTGGCCTGTGGTCTGATATCTTGCGTCTCCCTTGCTGTCTTTCCAGTTCATTTCCTTGCATGGCCATGTTTTGGGTCTATGGGATTGCCAGGTCTGGGATGCATGGCTGCGCCTGCAGATAGCTCTGGTTATGTTTTTCGCATCATAGACGGGCCAATGTAAAACAAGTTTTGATTAGGTTGATCCAGTAATGATTTCATTGTAATATGTCTTTGTCTTTGACTTTTAATTCTTTTCTACCTAACGACTGCCAGTGAAAGGATGTATAAAGTCAGTTCTTTGTCTGCCCAGGTGAATGTTTAGGTATTGATATTGCCACAAAGATAGACCATTAGACATACATGTAGATCCCAGCGGTTCTGAATCAACTATAAAAACTTCAGATTAAATATCCGTAAAGACAAAGTTTTATGTTCCGGAATTGACTCCAAAACAAAGATATCCAGCCCTACCCAGGCACATAAATCAAAAGCGGAGAGAAAATGGATGCCGAATAATGCCCGTATATACCCAAAGCGGTGACCGGGACAAACGACGGCATCTTTCAAAGCCACAACAAATCAAACGAATCAACCATACAGCATTGCTCCACTATATGCTGTGGGCACTGGAGCAACTTATCCAATTGGTAGAATACTCCGGAGTGCAGTGGCCTATGCATCTCCTAGAATGGAACCGTTTCTGCTTCATTCTCCACTCCATTGTTGGACTAGGTTTCTCGGTAAAGTGGGTTCATTTATATGTTGGGTCCTCCCATGTTTCGCTGCTCGAAAATGATACGGAGGGTTATTGTGGAGAGTGTTTTGTCATAGAAAATGAAGTACATCCTTTGTACAATGCTACTCCGTACATTGTTGAATATTAGGAAAGTGCTATGTTTCTCTCCCAATATGGCATGTGGGATCCCCAGCCACTTACTCCATATCTCAAACCTGAGCACTCAAATCCGCTTGTGAAGTCTCTTGATGGGCCATAGTCACCCAGTTCCCTGCTTCGAGTGTGGCTGGGTCAGAGATGCTGGCTCACGATTGGAAGTCCCGTTGATAGTCGGGGTTCGGACGCTGATTATCGGACTCTAGTGACATCATATTCCCCGTTCAACCCTTGTTTAGGGCTTTCTTTTTTTCGTAAATCTCTTACCGGGTTCCCGACTACTATATAAGAAACTGGCCAGTTATCTTCGAGGCCTGGGATGCACCTAGGGATGTATGTCCCGGATAAATGGCTGTCCCGGGATGATATTCTTCCTAGACGAATGAAAATGAAGAAGAGAAAGGAAATTACAGTTTTGAGGGGTCCGAGTGTCTCTGCCCAATTGACAGGCTCTAGTTTGGGTAAATACCTACAACATACGGAGCATCGCATGCTGTTCTCTTGAATAATGCAATTTCCTTTGGAAATGAATGTGGGTAGCTTGTCCACAAGGCAAATTCATTCCTCCGATGAGATTCATTGGTAGATGTCGGCGATGTCTGAGAATGGTTGCCTTTGTCTTTCTTTCTTTCTATCCGTTCCATGGAGGTCTTGTCCAAGGTTCGGTTCATTGTGTACCTATTCTGGATGGATTACTCCGTATAGGCTGGCACAATGTAAAATGGTGTATTCGTTCTTCGGGTTGACGAGAATCATACAATCATATAATCCATTCATCCCCAAGTACGTAGTATGCATGTCCACCGTTAATACTGTTACGATATGAATATGAATAGACACCATGTGTGCTTTTTCCACAGATCAGACGCTATGAACATGCTCTAGCCATAGCGTGGGAAGACTGGTCCCAATTTCCAGATTTAACCAATAGGCTCCAAGATGATTCGCATATTTGCTTGGTGGGTACTACGATGTATGTGATATGAGTATGGTCATTCCAATTCCAACCTGGGAAGACGTCAAGTGCTATTTTGTATACCTTATATTTCTATGCTCACTAACCGAGAGATAAGTCCACGTGTCTGACAGAGCGTAGAACGGAATGCTGTTCCTTGCTTCCATGCTTTACGATCCGTACATGCCGACGGTGCACTATTGGGCTGGGCATTCCGCCGGTTTCCTCCCGTGCATATGCATCGACATTTTAAACATCGTGCCAGTGCCCGGGAAGTGTTGCTTTTTGCCAGGAACACACCCGGTTCCTCATCCCGGGTGAAACAATAATGTGACTATGTGCATTGTGCAATTTTATACATCGAGTATGTATACTCTATGAACGTCCAAGGCTATATTATATTTGAATTTCAAGCTGTAGCTGAGAGTATTGAATTTGAATCCACCCCGAAAGAGCAGTTTGATCAACTAGTGATCAATATTAAGTTGTAGAGTCAGTAAGGCATATTGCCGAGACCCGATGGACACTTCCGAATCCCGAGTGTATAGTTGTACCGGTGCTGAATATGACATGGATGCCACCCTTTTTTTTGACGGCGTCAGACCCCTGGGGCGTCATTTTCTCGTGTCAAGAAGATTAAAGTCGCATGACAGTTTGAACCAAACTGTGGCGATTCGGATCCCCAAGCCATGGTCACCTGCTCTACATCTGGTGACGTCGTTGAGGGGAAGGCTCTTGGATCTGATATTCGAAATGTTACTGTATCTGACAATTTGATATACAATTTGATTTACAATTCTATTTCGAAGTGCTATTGTATATGTACGGAGTAGCTAAATGTTAAATGCGAAATGTCAGGTTAAATACCAAATACCAAATACAAATACAAAACAGTACGAGGTAAATGCCCTCAATGTTAACCTTTTGAGCCAGGTGCATCCTACAGTGCAGGGGCCAAGTTGAGGGAACGTCCTTTTTTAGTACCTGAGTCGGCTGCTTGCTTGTGTCAGGAACCAACATTCCTAAACCCCTTCGAGGATAAGGGTTCTTTTTCCAGTTGAGCTTTTTTTTTTTTTTTTTTCTTTGATCTATTGGTTCCTTCACATTTCTGATACGTCTCGTCGATGGATGCCGACTCGGGGTTCATCTGCCCGGTCCAGGTGTCTGGTACATGCTGCATGGACGGGACTACGGCTGGAATCCCAATGATGGTCCCGAGCTGGGCGTCGGCTGAGATAGCTTCGACTCACATGCCAAGGAACCCCTGCACAGACACACTTTGATGGCATCGAGATCCTCGAAAGAATGGAAGAACGGGAGCCCCCTTTCAATTCCGATAGATTTTTTCCGGGCCGAATTCTGATTAGTATATGACTTTTCCAACCGGTCTGTTTCTCAATTACCGGTGTGTCATTTTTGTCTCGAGATGCCTAGAGCTCATAGTTAGTATATAGTATATAGTCAAAGTAGTATACTTAACTTGGAATAGTTCCCCCAATTGCAGCTTGGACCACTTGGACTTGGCCCAAGCTTCTTTTTTTTTCGAGGTCAGCTGGTCTCGTGATAGTAAAAAAGATTACAGTACCAGCGATTCAACCAATGACAATGGTTCCAGGTAAAATCACCGTTGGGTCACCCGACATCACTTCTATCGCCTATTTTTGGGGGGGTGATATATATTTAAGGTGTATATAGCTATAAACAGATACTATGTATAGCTTGACTATATTCCCACTACCCCGGAGACTCCGCTTTCTCCAAAGTCTTTTTTTTCTTTCTTTTCAATGTTTCCCGGATTTCGCACACCGGCACGTATTGGTAAATACTCTCATAACACCCGTACCTATGATATCATTTCCCGAACTTTGGTAAATAACAGTAAAGTTACAGTACTGTAAATCCAATAAATAGAATTAGCTAGAGAGATATATATACACATATAGTAAATATATGTAGCTTTAAGAATAGAAAAAAGAAAAGAAAAAAAAAAGAACCAAAGTAGACTAAAAGACCTTAAAAGAGTAAATACCTGAGAAAGTTGGATTTGAACTTGAACTTGTAGCTCTCCCGCCCCTCTCTTTTTCCCTTTTCCCCCCCTTCCCGAATTGCCCACTCCGTAAGACATTGGCTTTCATCTCCTTTTGATTCTATCTTTTTATTTTGTTCCTTTCAAATATCAGATACCTTTTTTTAACAAAAAAAAAGAAAGGGGGAAAAAAAAAAGAAGAAGAGGAAATCTATTCCATCAACGTCACCTTTCTTTCGCCCTGAACCCACCCCAATTTTACCTAACCTTCCCTAGTCTAACCCGTCTTATTTCACTCGATTCGACTTCATTGGTTGAACATTCTCTACGAAAGTTGCCCACCTTCTCCTCTCTCTCTCATTCTTCTTCTTCCCTACTTTTTACTACATTCTTGGCTCCCGGGTGCCATTTTCTCTTCCCATCGGTCCTTCCGCCCCTCCCTACTCCACCCCGGTTTAACCGTCTTCCCAACTTCACATATCTATCTTCTTGCCGCGATGTCACAGAATCGACCCGGGTTGTTCCCAACTTTGCGCATGGGTGGTAAGACCATATATTCATCTACATTGCAATGGGTTCGACTAACCTTTCCCCAGAGGTGATCCGGGAAAAGGTCCAAGATGGACTGACCGGCGAGTCCAAGGAGATCTCCTACACTCAGTGCAAGATTGTCGGCAATGGCTCCTTCGGTGTTGTGTTTCAGACCAAGATGGCACCGAGCGGGGAAGATGCTGCCATCAAGAGAGTCCTCCAGGATAAGCGGTTCAAGGTGGGTTCTCGACCTTCTCTCTCTGTGTGTCCGATCACTAACCAGTCTCGTAGAACCGTGAGCTGCAGATCATGCGGATTGTGCGCCATCCTAACATTGTCGAACTCAAAGCCTTTTACTACTCCAACGGCGACAGGGTATGTTGTCTCCTGGGTGTCCCACCCGATCGTCTTTCCGTCCCCCCGTTCCAGTGGGCTGACCGTGCCCCCGATTTTCCCCCAATAGAAAGATGAAGTTTACCTCAACCTCGTCCTCGAGTATGTCCCGGAGACCGTGTACCGCGCATCGCGTTACTTCAACAAACTCAAGAC